ATTATAGCAATATACAGGGTGTCCGCAAATTTCACCGACAACGTTTGACTGCATATTCACGACGATAAATAAATACGATTTACGAAAAATAAGTTAAATAAAAACTTTATAGTGGTCGTAATTTTTTTAAACTGAGAGCAATATTGAAAATGTCGTTTCATTTAAAAAATATATTGTCCCTTGGGAAAATCGACTACTGAAAGCCTTTCTTGAGAAAAATGGGACTATTTGCAGGTCTGTGCGTTTCAGTTTGCGTAGCAGTGTCACGGATTTAAAACATTGAGTTCAGTAGGCGATGAAAACAAGATGTTGATTTCTCTGGCTATCAGGTAATGTCATTATTGTCGTGTTTCTTTAGGATTATCATCACTCCACAACTAATGTTCACAAAACTTTAAAAAAGCAATTTCACATTTCATTTAACTTCTTCTCAAGAACTTGAAAATTTAGATCCCAACGCAAGTTTATAATTTTGCTACTGGTTGGTGAATGGCTTCGAAGAAGGTAATAATTTGCTTCAAAAATAGTTTTGTACCGACAAATCTTGTTTTACAAGGAACAGGGTTGTAAATTTTCATAATGTGCATGTGTGGAGTTATGAGAATCAAAAAGAAACACGACCATAATGACATACCTGATAGCCACAGCAATCAATATCTTGTTTTCATCGCCTACTGAACTCAAAATTTTAAATCCGTGACATTGCTACGCAAAATATACAGACCTGCAAATAACGCCATTTTTTCAAGAATGGCTTTCTGTAGGCGATTTTATCAAGTGCCAATATTTTTTTTAAATAAAACGACCTTTTCAATGTTGCTGTCGGTTTTAAAAAAATACGACCACTATAAAAGTTTTGACCTCTAAAAGGGAGAGGTAACCGGATAAACTACCACCCAGTACAACGATTTTACTAAAACTTTAAGAAATAATACGCCATAATAGTCCAAATAAATGTGCCAAATTTTACTCGATGGGCAAAAGGGTTATGAAGTTATTAACTAAATTAGTTTTATTTTTGACAACTTTGAAAGCTTGTAACTCAAAAATCAACTTTTTTTTTAACTTTTTTTTCGTAGATCGTTTTTATTTATCGTCCTGAATATGCAGTCAAACGTTGTCGGTGAAATTTGCGGACACCCTGTATATAAAGAAAAGTAATCGAATTATGCGCCTTAAAAATATACATTTTAAAATTCAATAATGACTATGAACTTTAATTACGTGTAATTAGATACTTTTTGAATTTGGGTGAAATGTAATTTCCAAATATGTTATATTTTAATTGCCACTGCCACTGACAAATAATCTTAGTTGTTTGCTAGATATGGCCGGTGTAATTCAATGCTGGACGGGAGTTATAGTCCGCGGAGTAGTTGTTTCCTATAATATAATTAGTTAAAAACTCAGTGGTCTTTGTTATTATAACTTTCAACCACTTAAAAAAATATATTTTATTTTCTTTAGGCGGAATAAGTAAGTCATAGTTTCACCTAGCGACGTTATTGCAAATTGGATCAATAAGTGGACTTGATCTATTACTTGAAAGAATTTGTGATTTTTAAGATCAACTGTGAAAAATTTAAATTTTTCTAAACAAGGCTAAACCATTTAATTTAGTTAGATAACACTCTATTACTCAATTTTGTGTAGAATGTTCTCGCTTACTATTGGAAATTTTCCGACATATACATACAGGTTCGAAAAGTCCCCATAGTATATCGGCCGTTATGTGAGAGCGATAAAGTAAGTGATAGAAATCTGTGCGATAGAGAAGGATGGCTATAATGAAGGCGTCTCATAGTCACCGCCCGTTTCGCCCTTCCACAAATAAGATCCACTTCCACTTGTAATTCAGCGACCGGTGGTTATCTTTGTTTTCGTCGCCTTTTCTTTAATAGATGTCACTACTTATACAATTTCGGCTCCGGTATTCCGATATGTTAATACAATCCGTTAACAGAGGGCAGCACAACGCGTAACAAAGAAAACTTTTTACAGTAGCTAGTAGATACCTCTGTTTGTAAATCTAGTGATCTTGTTTGCCGTATTGAGAAGTTATGCAAATGGAGTATAGTGCTCAGCTGCATTTAAAGTTCATTTAGTTGTTATTTAAGTATACTTTGCCCACTGTTAACGGATTGTATTAACATATCGGAATACCGGAGTCGGAATTGTATAAGTAGTGACAGCTATTAAAGAAAAGGCAAACGCCGAAAACAAATATGACCACCGGTTGCTGAAAGTGGAAGTGGATCTTATTTGTGGAAGGGCGAAACGGGCGGTGACTGTGAGACGCCTTCATTATAGCCATCCTTCTCTATCGCACGGATTTCTATGACTTACTTTATCGCTCTCACGTAACGGCCGATGTACCACGGGGACTTTCCGAACCTGTATATATTAATCGGAGAGATGAGATCTCAGTTAAGGAGACGCTTGGTTTGCATATACCTTATTCTTCAATATACTTGAAACGTATTTAGAGCTATCTCGTCAAGTTGAGTACCTATGGCATTAAATTCTTAGATACTACTTAACGTGCCCCCTAATAGCTTCTTGACATAACGCGATTAAATCACACCTTTAGAATATTTTATACCCTTCTCTGCACACAGAAAAACTCGTTTAGTTTACAAATTTTGCCAAGCTGATTTAAATGCACACTATGGGAATTAGGAAATAATACTGTACCAGTGAAAATTCCTTTGAATAACGTTTTTGGTGTGAACTGTGTAAACGAATTAGTTCCACTAAAATTTCCTCTTTGACTGATACAACGGTATGTGCTTCGTATTTCCTTCTAAGTCTTATAAACATAAAATGTTACATAGAACGTAGTAAAAGATACTGCAAAACTAATGCAGAATATTGCTAATGATTGAACTTAGTAAGTATCCAATTCATTGTAGTTACACCCAACGGTAATAGGGTTATTCACATAAATTTCTATACACTTTTGAAGAATTTTATGTGATGTTAAAAAGGGGCGTCCCAAAACTAACGCAGAATTTGAATTGTATACCATTTTGATTCCGAAGGGTTGGCAGCATTGTAAGGGTTAGACAGAATGGAGCGCTATGCGACGAACAAGCCAGTAAAGATTGTGAACATTCATAACAAGTACGGAGAGTGTGTAGCTGAGCCTGTGCGTAAATTACGTGCAATTTTCGGTAGAAGCAACGCCTAGAATGAAACAACTGTGAAAATATTAGATGCCAAATTGAACAAAGACGTTCCGTTGCAGACAATAAAAAAACAGGCCGGTATTGCACTGGCCGTTCAGCCATATAGTATGGTGGAAATTTCCGTAACCTCAGTGCGTCGTCGCCTTCGGTCACTGCAATTAAACATTTCAAAAAGCTCAATGCAACGGATTTTAACAAAAGATCCGCATCTGCATGCATTCAATATTCAGCTAACCCAGGAATTGAAACCATATGACCATTTAATGTACAGGACATTCTTTAATTATTGTATGTTGGAGAATCAATAAGTGGACGGTGATTTTGCAACGAAAATCATCTTTAGCGACGATGCGCATTTCCATTTTAGTGGTATGTGACAAAATTGAAAATGCGGCTTGGAAAGTAGTGACTGTCAATGGAGAACGATATCGAGATATGCTATTGAATTTTTTCTCATTTGGATGACATGGATTTGGATGACACCTGTCATAAGGCAGGTGAAACTATCCACTTATTAGAAATTTAATGGATGACTCATATCACATAACAGTGAAGTGACTTGACCATTAAGAACATGCGATTTTACCAAATGCGACGTCCAAAGTCAATTATCCTCAAATGAATACCATTCCTGAATTAAATGCAGAAATTTGGAGAGTTATCATTGAAGTTAGCCGCAAGTATGCGAAAGCGCGATACAGAATTATGAGTATGCCAAATGAGTCGTGGAGGACAACTGTCCGATATCCTTTATCATATTTTAATGTTAATGTCTACTCTACTTAAAAATATATAAAAACTTTGCCAACATTTTAATTAATAAAACATTTTTTCCTTATATGAAATGTGTTTCTTTTGGGACACCGGTTATGTGTGGAAAAGAGAAAAATAATTTCGATGCTGTTAGAGACTTACGAGCGTTTAACCTACCTATATGCATTTCCTTGCATATAATAGGAACTTCGTCCATCAAAAAATTATTTCGCGCAGTTATTACAAAAATAGCTATTACGAAATAGTTATTTCTATACCTAATCATATTATTGTAAAAGAAAAAAAATATATCTATTATTTATTTTCAGTGCAATTTCAGTTAGTTTTTTTAATTCAGTACAGTGTAATGCTGTCAGAACTAAGCCTCGGGACATAGGCGTACGCTTAATTAATAAAAAACAAATTAAATTATTTACAATGCACCACCATAAATACCAACGGATAGGAATTAATTACGCAATATCCGCACGATAACAAATCCAACAGTATACTAACGTGACGTGAACGTGAAAAGCATTCTGAGGGAGCAGCTCACGCATGTCTCAGTTGACACGCTTGACACGCCATTGAATTGCAGCTCTCTCTGACAGCCCTAAGTAAAAGTAATAACATTTTTAACATTTTGTATTTCCAAGAATGAAGTACGTATTTATGTATCAACTATGTTTATTCGAACTGTTTTGTTAATTTGTGATGTTAGAAGTAATCTACTTTTAATTATGTTGTTAATTTTGCGCTAATATTCTTAATTTCCAATATTTTTCTAACTACTTATTTATATATATTTTTAAGCTCTATCGATAAAATCATAAGAAGCACTGCAAAATAAAAAACAAATTCACATTTCGTGGAATTGATTATTTATATCTGTAAGTTAAACACACTATTTCACTCATCACCAGTTTTGTTGTGTTTGTAAAAACAACATGCAATCAAATCAACAAAAAAAAAACAATCTAGATAAATCTGTCGCAAATTATTACTAGGTAGAAACAAAAACATAACTAAAACACAAACACTACAAGCAGTCTGTGGACTTTAAGAAGCTGGTATTAAGTGCGTTGTAATAAATCTACTTATTAACCTTAAATATCTCCGACCAAATCTAGCATCCATGGTAGCCATTCCGAATCCCCTGTACGGAGAAATTTAATTACAATTTTCCTACTTTTACAGAGGTGTACCTGTATCACAAATCAAAATAAAGAACACTTTTCCTGCATAAATATACAGAGGGTGTTTTATAAGTCCGTTTAATAATTTCAAGACTTGATTGTTTTTTACCAAAAGCCTTAATAAACCACATACCTATTCCAATATAAAAATTCACTGACTTGATATACAAATCTGACAACTAATGCCAGAGATACTAAATATAAGAATTGGATAAATGCATTAAATTTGTTTTCCACTTCTTTCTCAGTTATAATTTTTTGACCTTGAGCTTGTCGCATAAGAATATTTTTATCGGAGGTTTGTAATTCATTGTCATTTAATTTTTTTCAGGAGCTATGTTAGTTGTCGAAATAATAGAATTCTTACGACAGCGTCGTTTTTACTTTTGATAATTTCAATGTCTATGTTCTGCAAAAAAATCCTATGTAGGTACTTGTATTTTTTTTAACAAAGCTTATTTAGATTTATTCAAGTGTGTGATCAACTAATATCAATTTTAAATTTGAGGAAATAATTTGAAAGTTATTCAAGTTTTCGATTGAAATGGAATGTGTTGCGAATACCATTAAAAATTATGAGTATATGCACTTATTCGGTTTCTGTAATAATAAGTGATGTGGATTTTCTACTGTTCTTACTCACAATATATCCCAATACCTTCGCCATGGGTTGACATATTTATATACCTACCGACTTAATTTAATTTTTCTGGGCCAAAAAATTTAACATTCTTGGTTTGAAAGCGATTAAATTTTGGCGATCATAGACTCAAATACATAGCCTTCGTTTTCATGACGATCAGTTCTTCTCTTAGAAGAATTTTTAATTATTGGTCAACTCCTGTGAATTTGGATAAACCTGGTAGCACGACTCTAATAAATATTTAAGAAAGTCTAGAATACTGTGTGAAATTAGAAAAATGTTTTACGTTCATGAGTATCATAACAGGAATAAAATTTGATTCCTTCACGAAAAAATGTCAGCTGCCTATCAGATCGCCCAAACTGTCGCTTCGTCTGTGGGTTAGCTGTGGAACTATTTTTTCTTTGATTCATTAAGGCTTTTTGGTCCAAAATATTCTAAACAATACTGTTCTGAAGTGCACACACGCACATCCTGTTTGTGGAGTCTTATATTTTTATCAATGAAAAATTTAGCAAATCAGTTGCAGTTAACTAAATAAATTATCGATAAAAAATATTTTGAAATATGCTGTATGGAATGTAGATATCTATTTTGATAAGGGACACAGATACAATCATATGTATGCCACGTAGATACCTAAGCCAACTTATTTCAAATACTAATTGTTTCAGTTTAATTTTATTTTATTTACAAATAGTATAATAGAAGATCAGTACTTAAATTAAATCAATACATATTTGGTGCTCTCTCAAAACAATTAAATAAATAAATACAGGCTGTTTCAGAAAGACCTCCCGTAAATACAGGGGGTGATAGTACCACAAAAAATAAGAATTTGTGTCTTATGAACTATATGTCTATCTTCTCTTGTTTTCGAGATACATAGCGACAAAATAAAATTTTTTGAATAGAATTTTTATGAAAATTTCCAAACAGCGCGAAATATTTTTATGAAATTTGGTATTCCGGAGTTTTTAAGGATGCCAAATACGCTGGTCTAATTATTTTTTGTCTATTTCGTAGAGGGCGCCAGTTATGTTCCTATTACATTTTAAGTTCTAATTTTCTCAAGGTTAGGTTTACCATTCGGGCTTCAACTTCTAATGTACAATTTCATTTTCTAAAAATAATGCGCTCTTATTAGAACTTCCTAATGTGGACGGTTTTCGAGAAAAATGGCTTTTAATTGAACAATATTATGGTGTATAAAATAAGTGACTTCTCTCAAAGTTGGCTTATGTCAAAACTTATAAATGGATGTCTCATAAACAACGCATACATTCTTAGTAATATTTTTAAACTCTAATTAACTTTATATAAAAATTTTAGTGACTGTAATTAGTCATTACTAACTACAGTTACTAACAATCAATAAAATTTTGATATAAGGTTAATAAGAGTATAAAATATTACTAAGAATGTATGCGTTGTTTATGAGATCCAAAAATCCAAATCTACTTTGAGAAATGTCACTTATTTTATACACCGTAATATTGTAAGAGTTTAATTAAAAGCATTTTTTCTGGAAAACCGTCTACATTAGGAAGTTCTAATAAGAGTACATTATTTTTAGAAAATAAAATTGTACATTAGAAACTGGAGCCCGAGTAGTAAAAAACTTAACCTTAAAAAAATTTGAACTTAAAACGTAATAGGAATATAGCATAACAAGCGCCCTCTGTGAAATATCCAAAAAATAAGTAGACCAACGTATTTGGAATCCTTAAAAACCCCGGAATACCAAATTTCATAAAATTATTTCGCACCGTTTGGAAATTTTCGTAAACATTTTATTTTGTCGCTCTATCTCGAAAACAAGAGGAGATAGACATATAGTTCATAAGACAAAAAATTCTTATTTTTGTGGTACTATCACCCCCTGTATTTACGGGAGGTCTTTCTGAAACACCCTGTATAATATTATTAAACTGAATTCTCAAAAAAAAAATAAATTGCTCATCTTACTACAACGTATCTACTAAAACAGAACAACGAAAATTACTTTCATTAAAAAATCTAGCGATACGAAATAAACAATCAGATTATATGAAGCGTCAGCACCTACTGGAATTATATTTCCTATTTTTAGCCTCATTATGCGATCTATTAGTTATAATCATTTTTATCATTAAGAGAACTACAGATAACTATAATCCCGTCCAAGTGTTTTATCTTCTATTAAACCAGTAATCTGATTACTTTAAGATATATGAATACTTACTCGAGGCCATGTTCGGAGAAAACTTCACTGATGTCTGAATCGCTCCTGGGTAGGATCAGCTTCGGAAGAACTGTGGCCCTTTTTCTCCTGGCTTTAAGCGTCGCAGCAGACATGTGAAGCAAATCAGGCATCTTATGAGGCGAGTGTGGTGACAGAATTGTAAGTTTCCTGTCACCTGGACTTAAATTTAGGTACCCAGCAGGAGGAGGAAGGCTCAAGTGTTGCGGAATTCTCATTTTTCCTGACCACAACACCCTGCGTCTTTCGGCACTTATAGTCTCGTCGCTGCCTAGCGCTGACGCTGACGAAGCCAGCATGGCACCCTCGCCGCTAACTGCGTGTCTTTTCAACTTGATTTCTCTTTCGATGCTTTCTAGAGACTTGGCCTCCGTGGATTCTGAATACATTCGCCTCATGTCTCGCTCGCTTGAGGTTAAAAATGATTTTGGGGATGTCCTAAGGCTTTCCATGCTCTTGGCGGTTTCGCTTCTATGGCCTGCGCTTAAAAACTGCCCCTTATTCGCTTGCTTGGAATCTGGCTCGTAGTCTTCCTGGGAAGAACTTGAATGGGGTGATTTTGATAATAAAGAATACCTAGGGGATGCCCTTTGTGATATGGATTCCGATTCTGATTCTAATGAGTCTCCGCTAGCTTGGTGGGTGACTATCTGGCACTGAGGTATAGCATCTAATTTTGTGTCGGAGGGAAAAGTAGCTGTTGATGTGCGGGATAAGGATTGTATGTTTTGCTGGGTTAGTGTTACTGTCGACGACGCCTTCGACAGAGAAGTAGTTTCGTCCTCGTCCTCCTCCATCGCGACAGGTAGTTTTTTAAACACTTTGAAGTCCTTTATCACAAATGTTTGTCACAAAAAGCACATAGTTGTAGGGTTTTACTGTCCTAACTTATTTTTTAGATAGAGCCTTATTTCGCTGCACTAATTTTCTGTTAATAATAAAGTTTTGCTGCAACACAAACCTAGTAACAGAACAAAACGGTACGTGGACTTTAATGTAACTTCCAAACTGTTTAATAAATCATTTACAATCCAATATACGGCTGAAGCAAATGTTCGTGATTACATTAATTATTTCACCAGTTTAAACAGCGATCGTTATCTGATAGCTGATAATAAATTGAATGCAACTCTAACCATACTGATGCCTACTGTTGTAAACCCAATGGCTGCTAATGATCTAATCGATTACCATTTCATGTCTTGCACCAGTAATTTAGTAAAGATAGTAATGGTGACAGAATACAACTTATCAAAGTTTTCTTATCGTTTAAATATTTTTATCATCCAATACAATATCCAATTCAGCTGTTTTCAGTAAAGTAAACGTGAAGTTAAACGTTTCAATATTTCATCTCAAAAATTTTCGAGGAAATGACTAAAATTTTTATATTCGACAGTACCTAACATGTCTTATATTCACTATTTCACAAACAAACAGTTTTATATAAATAAAACGAATTTTTAACATATTTCGAATTACAATTCATCTACTAAGATTAGTATTTCAGTAATTATGTTTTTAGGGTGAGAATTCTAAAACAGTATTCATTTTATGCTCACCCGTTAATGTTGCCCATCACGCCTTTTTGGTGAAGTAAATATGACGGCGTGTTTTGTAACATATGTGAATAAAATAATAATAACGAAAATTTACTTAATGTAGAAAAATACTAACAAGTAAGTAAAAAAAATCTAGCAGTTTTCGAAACAGAAGCCGTGATTGTTTGCTTCAGTTTATGTTGGGAAAACTATCTTGTCCCATAATATTTAAAACCAATGTAAATTAGTTTGGACAAAAGGAATCGGAATTTTATTGTCAAGTCAAAAAAATACGGTCTTAGAAATAGTTATTTTATTGTTGAAATATTTCAGGTGAACTACTCTCCGCATTTTTTAGCCGCAGTGCCCTATTTTAATTATAATATCACCTTTGAAGTATTTTGCGTTTAGGCTAATTTTAGAATTATTAAAGACACCTGACCGTAATATAATTTTTCATGGGCTTAATTGTTATTTATTTTGATGTTAGGAAATTATTGTGTCTAGGCATATCAAATAGACGAGCGGTCCACCCCTAAAAACCAAAACCAATTTTTTAGATTTAATATCAGCATGAAAGGCCTTTCAAGTATATAACAATTTATCGTGATCAAAAAAATTGTGTGCGTCGATTCAATTTGAGTTCTCCTATCATATTACGCGAAAATGAAACGCGTTTTTGTTACCCTGACTCCATACTTGCGTCGAGAGATAATTTTTTTAACATTCGTTAGAGAACATTTGCATATAAAAGCCGTCTAATCATGCATACCATCTACAATATTTAGTGAAATGATTATTTGCAAAAAGTTGGATCATTACCACCTACATTATTAAGGCCTCCAGGCTTCGCAATTGACGTCATTTCGGGAGTGACAGATGTTACTGCGTAACCCGAATCGTTAACGATATAGATATTAAAAGTTCAGTGAAATTAAGTAGATATAGACAGTGTATCGTCCCGTAGCTATAGTACAAAATTTGGTATAAAATACAAGATTTAATTACGAACAAAAAAGATACTATAAAATATTTAATTAATCTTTTTAATTCGAATTAGAAATACCAAGTTTTTCGCTGCACCCCGTTGATATTTTTCTTACATAAAACAGTTATGTCGCATGTTTAAAAGACTGATTTTTAAGGGAATTTAGTTTTTTTGTCGTTTTTTACCATTAAATCATCATTAATGATACATGAGACGTACTTAACTGAAAGAAATCCACCAAGTGAGGAGCTTTGCTAAGATATTTTAGCTACAGTAGGTAAAATTTTTACTATCACAGAAGAAAATTCATGCTGCCACAAGTAAGTACGTTTTGCTGAAACGTGTTTGCTACCACAACAAAAAAAGCCCTGTGGCTATAAGATAGTTCAGTTGGAATTTTATTTTAGTCGACTGTCTATCTGTCCCAAGTGAGTTGCTTTACTCGGGTAAGTGAATGTACTTTTTTAGAATTGATCCAATTGGGGTTAGTGAGTCCTTCTTTGTAGCAAATTAGGGCTGACTTACTGTAACACTTAATAATTTCCAGAATAAATCGGAATTCGGCTCAATGCGCATGCGCGATTACGCGTGCCTTATGCTGACCATGGTTTCGCCCATAGAGAAGTTAGATGTTTCGCCATTTTGCTGTAACACGGAACACGGGATATACGTTCGTCAATTGTTAGTTTTTGAGCCAGTTTTCAGTTATCTAACAACTGCCAGAAAGTTTTCAATTTGGGTATTTGCAGGCTGAGTACAAACTCTTACTTCTCGAATAGGGATTTCAAGATTATTTATGCTCGTTGTACAACATTTTCAGTTGCATTGCATGGTGTACGAAGAGCCAACAACAATGAAAAATAGTAAATACGGAGTTGACTCACTTGGAGTTAATGAGTTGACTCTATTAGGGTTAATGAGTTGACTCGCTTGGGATTAATGAGTTGACTCGCTTGGGGTTAATAAGTTAACTCGCTTGGGATTAATGAGGACTCGCTTGGGGTTAATGAGTCGACTTGCTTGAGGTAGCAAAGAGATTATAGCAAAACTGCCTACTTACTGCAAGTGAGTTGCTTCCAGCAAAGCAGTTTTTCTTGTAGTAAGAAGGCAATTCACTTGGCAAAGAGGTAGAAAATACAGTGGTCTTTTGTCACTAAACAGTTGCACTAACTATTAACTCAAAATCATTCCTTCAGTCTAACCTTAAATTTAGGGTCTGATTTAAATTATCGAAACAAAATTAAGTTTAAGTATAAGTCACACATAGAATTATGTAAAATTGGGTTCTATAATAAAACCCATCTTGTAATACAACTAACAACAAAGTGTGCGTCGACTTCAATTATTTACAATTAGAGACTAACAGTACCAGGGAAAACAAGAGCATCGGATATGAGGCTTTGTAGTATAAACAGTAAAGACTAAATGATTTTTCCTCCGCACACCTTCATAGAGGAATATTTACTAATTCTACGAATATTCGTACAAGTTTTCTCATGCACTATTTACACATCGAAAAAGTTCTGTCATTGAATTCGACTCAGCTGTAGCCCATTTAGCACAAACATCCTCAAAATTTTGAGTAATTGGCAAAAATAGTGAAAAATCGCCGAATATCAAATTTTTTAGTTACTTTCTTCGATTTTTCACTATTTTTTTCAATTACTCAAAATTTTGGGGGTATTTGTGCTAAACGAACTTCAGATTTGGATTCACCACGTCAAAATATATAAGGTCTATTGAGTCAAATCAAAGGTACAGACCATTCTTTTTGTGTGCCGGTATTATTAAAACTTTAAAAAAATCAGGCAATTGCAGCTATTGAACAAGAAGTGGTACTATGCTACAGATTCCTTACCACCGCACTACTTTATTTGAAAAATCAACATTTTACGCAGGTATAAAGATTGTCAATAATCTCCTAATAGTCGAGGCAATGAAGCACTAAAAAGGCCAAAAGTTCGGAATTTTTTCCATAAAGACGGATCGGAATGCGGTTTTTTGCATTCTCTTCCAAAAATTTTTTGTAAAAAATGTGGGTACTTTGTGTTTCTGACAAACCGGAAATTGCATTGCTGCAGCCAAAAATACATTCAAAAAATGCATTTTTTGAGACGCCTTTTGGTAGATTTCAAAACTTTGAAAATAAGAGTCAGAACTGGCCCAAATTGGGTACTCGGGGGTTTTCGAGGTCGCTGATCACGATTATGGGCCAGGCCACGTTCAGGCCCAGGTTACGGTGCACCAGGTGTACAGGGGGTCGTTTTCTACGTGAAATTTGGATTAAGCGCCCCAAAAACGCCTCTACGATGATTTTTGAGTTGTTTTTGGCGATCTTGTTAGGAAAATTCTCGGAGATGACGTCCACGTCCAGGTTCGGGCGCACCAGGTGTCCGGGGGGTGTTCGACGATGGTATATTTGAACTCAGCGACCCAAAAAAACCCCGGGCGCCGAGTTTCTCTCCTTCCCCGCGTGATTTGTGGGAGAGTCCCACGGAGATGACGTTTATCGGCGTTCCTGAGCTCCAGGTGTTCGAGGGGTCAATTTGAACATCATAATCGTGATCAGCGACCTCGAAAACCCCCGAGTACCCGATTTGGGCCAGTTCTGACTCTTATTTATAAAGTTTTGAAATCTTCCAAAAGGCGTCTCAAAAAATGCATTTTTTTAATGCATTTTTGGCTGCAGCAATGCAATTTCCGGTTTGTCAAAAACACAAAGTAGCCACATTTTTTACAAAAAATTTTTGGAAGAGTGCAAAATACCGCATTCCGATCCGTCTTTATGGAAAAAATTCCGAACTTTTGTGCCTATAAGCTGTGTCAAAAATTAATCAAATTTTACATTTTATAAAAATAAAGTATACCTACTTAATAGATTTGTGCTATGGTAGGGTTGAAAATGTTTTCTCTTACTTTGTATAAATTTTTCTACGTTGTTTTATATACATATGTATGTATGTATGTATCTAAACTTTTTTGTGTTGCAATTATTTTTAACGAATTAAATTTTCAATTTCATAAATTTGTCCAAAATAAAGTAATATTTCTAATATTTTAGGGCTCTTATCAGTAAATCTCTAATTATAAAGGTGTCCATTAAATATACGTACAATATACAAATGAACCTACCGATTTAGCAGCACGAAGAATGAAATAACACCGGATTTTTTCTTCAAACATCTCCGAATTCTCATAATGAAATTTATTACAATCCCGCAGGTTTGAAATTGTTCTTTCGTAATTGGAAAATAAATATTTTAATGCTGTTTCCGTAGAATAACTCCCTCGTATTTCTTCCCCGAAAAAGGAATCTTGTCGCTGTCTTGGGAGTATATATTAAAGGTTATTATGTAATTATGAGAAGAAAACGTTTATTTTGAAGAGTAAATTTACATCCACCGCACGGAATACGCCAGAACAAATATCCTC